ATGAGGCAACGTATGAGCATGTACCACAGCCAGGTTGTCTTCCCTAGCTTTATGAGCACCAATCCATAAAGGAGGTAACAGTACACACCTGTTCCTGGCTGGCCAGTGAGAACAATGCCTTTCTCTTGATCCTCCCTCCTGAATATGAAGATTCTCTCTGCCAGCCTTCGATAGAAAGGTAAAACGTATAGGCAGCAACAAGTTTCTGTGAGTTCGGACAATCTGTGGTTGGGGTCATCGAGACCCTGCTTGTTTGTGGCAAGGGCAACAACAGACTGCTGGAACTCGAAGTCGGATGATTGGTTGGTCCAGAACACATAGAAATTCCACCAGTCATCCACATGCTCAAGCTGCCAACCGAAGGCACCAGGGTCTATATGAAAGTATGCCCCTGCTTCTGTAGGAAAAGGTACTGGCCTCTGCTGGAGTTGTTGTTGTCGTTGTCGTTGTAATGCCTGAGGGGATTCTTCTTCACTAGGACGCGAGCGTTTGGCCGGAATGCCTGCTGCACATATATAGATTAGTCAAACTTGCAAGGAACCGGCCAAATCTGGTAGATGTGCAGAAAACAGAATACGTACTTGAGTCGACAAAAGCAATAACATCAATCTTTCTATCCTTTTGGGGTGCAGGCCCTTCATGAAAGTACTCTGCAAGAGATAGTGCAGGCTGCATCGGCTGACGCTCTCGAACCCTTGCAAGGACCTTTGTAACATCTTCAACAAGTTCCTTAGGTGGTTTAACATACAGTTTGTCAAGCTGTGCGTCAACCTGTATGCCAATTGTCAGTCAGTGCAGTGACAGAATAGGAGACATCGAAGAAAGACCTTGTAAAGGGTTAGATCCTTGCCCTTCAGGTGATGATTGTCACGAATGTCTTGCCACAAGTCAGCAACGTCTGCCTCCTCCTGCTCGCGAAAGGGCCAAGCTTCTGCCTTATCTGAGTTATCATTGTAAAGCAGGCAGACCACATAGCGGCGAGTGTTTGGACTTGAAGTCGAAGAAGACATGGTGGTGGGTAAGAGACAACACGCATGACATGACCAAGTTGCCATTTCTGAGTCGCGGCTATTCCCACGGTGTCGTTCATGGACCACAGGATTGGACATTGATATCGATTGATGAATCATGAAATGCTCTGGTTGAGAGGGAAGGCCCCGGTCTGCAGAGATACTTACAAGATACCTGAGTCTAAGTACCTGATTTTCTTTCGCAACAGCGGTTCCAGAAATTTATACTTTCCAGCCGAAGCTGTGCCAAAAGAGTGAGTACCGTACTGGATATCGTTTCCCACAATCAGGTTCAGTCTCTCGACGCTCGGCGTATATGAATACGACAACTTCGACGACGGGCACGACAGACACCGGCAACAATGGGTCAGCCACGGACGGCAACGCTGTTATCACTAATTGTATATTTACAAAGCGTGCTTGCCGATGATAGCTAAGATGAAAACCCAGTGCTCGCCATGCAGCCTGCCTTCGCCAGCTCTCTGCCTGTCCAGATCCTTCTTAATGGTATTGTCCTTGCCCTCACCTGCGTTCTGCTTTTCCACCTGCTCTTTGCAGCACAATATCACTGGCCACTCGCCCCACTCAACTATGCTCTCCAACTTTCTGGAGTGCCTTCACTCTTGATTTCGTTGATTGCGACACTGTTTGTAGTGCTAAATAGTGCATTTATGGACACACGGGAATGGCCATACATGATCAACTATTTGGCAAAGGACGTTCCACCGATCGCAAGCTTGAGTGGAAATAGCACAGATTTGAGTGTGACAGATTCGCCGACGTGGACGACGGCTAAGTTGGCAGGGTGGTACGCGATGGACGCAACAACGTCCGCACTTGTTCAGGTGTGGTCACCGCACTACAATGGCCTTCATTTGCTCTTGATGCTAACGGCCCAAATAGATCACACATATCCAGTTCCTGGCACTGCTCTACCCGTCCAGACTCGAACAGCGCCTCGTTCTCTTCCTCTTAGGACCTCTTGCGCTGCTGTCAGCATCTATGGAGCTCCTTCCCATTCACCAGAATCAAACAACAGTCGATGTCGCTGATACCATCTGCAACACATGCAACGCTGCACTTTCGCTCCTCTTCACCGCTGCTTTGTTTCTCTGGGGTTTCGCGATCAATCGGAAACAAGCTTGGCGTACGGATGGTGGGACGGCCGTATTTGGCGGTGCAGCACTGGCGCTTGCAATCATCTCTACCGCTATAAACTTTCTTTACATCCCGACAAAGGATCAGTATCTCTGGCTGCCAAGCTTGATTTGGGCTGTAGTGCTATGGCAGAGTTTCCTAGGATGGTGGTGGTGGGTAGGCGGTGGAAGAGGCGTGGGCGAGGTCGAGGAGCTCTTGCGAAGGGAGGAAAGGAGAGAGAGGAAGTGCAAGGCGCATGCAGCGAGGAGGACAGTACGGAAGGAGAAAGCGCAAGTGCTGTGGAGAAATGCAAGTGAGACGCCGAGGTTTCATCGAGGAGTAAATGCAGCGCATCCAGGATCTGTTCCTATTGAAGAAGGCGAAGCAATTGAGATGACGGATCATTCAAGAGGAGCCAACATAACCCAAGCTGTGGAAGCATCGTCTGCGTCAACTACGGCGAGCTCACCGACGACGACGGAGGCTGGGCCGAGTAATATACTGTCCCGACTTCGCACAACACCTCCCATGCTCGCACTCTCGCACTTCTACCACCTTCTACACAGAGCGCATCTTGCTGCAGCACATAGTCAAGCACTCGAACGTATGCGCTTAAGACGGGCAGTATATGGAAACGAGGTGGCTGCTGCTGCAAGAACGTCCGGTACATCACCAGAAGCTGCAGATACGGACGTTGTTGGGTGGGGACTTGGAAGCTTTGGATTGAGAGAGAGGGAGAGGAGGGAGAATGAGTTGGCAGAATACAAGATCGAGAGGACTTGGCCTCGC